GGCATGCATCCTCTCGGAGTCGTAAGAAAAGAAAGAGCGATATCGAAGAAATCGTAAAAGTGAAGTAGTTACATTCAATGGTGATCGTAATCCACCTACGCGCACGCGGCGCGCGCTTTGGGAATTGGTCATCTGATGCAAGATCACAAAGAGAGTCTCGGCGGATGCTCGTGACTCGCGTAAGCTCCGTTAGCGAATAAACCATTATGAAAAGTACTGAAGCACGCGCAGCTGCTTTTCCGAGGCTCAAGTTAAGTAAGAATGTGCTGATGTGACAGTGATATTCGTCAAATATTAATTACCTCGACCAACATGCGCAAATGACCGAAATCTAGGGATGGTCTGGCGTTTTCAGGCAACTACTCGAGGCGTTGAGCGCTGAGGGCGCGTAAGAGCCGTCATATCTAGTTTTCGCGCGGGAAGCCTTGATAATCTTGTACAAGATAAGTCACAGATTGGAGTGTTGGCGTTGGCTTATCTCACACGCGCGCGCGCGTGACAAAGGAGGCCGAGGGAAAATCTGAAAACTTAGTGTAAGCATGCTAACTTCTTTTTTAACGGACTTTCTCATTCGATTTTCTGCGTACATTTCGTATCGATGTTAATACTACAACGGAAACATTTTACGCGAGACTGAAGCTCAACCAAACTCAATTTAGGGAAGCGAAACCCTATTGGGTGACGCGTCATGCAGCTTCCCATGCAGAACCTTAACGGCTCTGTCAGTGAATTAACACGCTGCCGAGGAGAAATTAGTTGACAAATGCATTTGAGAATAGCTTGCCCGGCAACAACGAAATCATGTCCGCGCGCATACCTGAAGAAAACGACAAACCATTGAGTTCGTCTTTTCTGGGAAGAATCTTCACGGTGGCGAGTGCAGAAACAAAAAAAAAACAACCGTAAGCGTGCCTATCTATTTCCGTTACAAAAGGCTCGGTGCGCATCATTTCGAGAGCAGTGAGACAAAAGATGAGTTGCACAGTAGTTGTCTGAAATAGGGGACGAGGGAACCGTCATTGCTCATGGCCGACTTGTCGATCGGAAAGAGAGAGAATTTCCAGTTGACGTTCTTCTTCAGCGAGCTAACGTCGTTCTCGCCCTGATAAATTGCTCCGTCGTTGGCGCGCATGTGGTCGGCGCAACGTGAAAAATATACTCAACAAAATATAATCAGATGAGGCAGACGCGCGTTGGATATTGCACTACGTGGCAAGGGTAGACGAGAGAAACGCTCATGTTTTACTGACCCACATACCGCGCAAGCTAACAGTACGACCGTATGGATGAGTCTTTGACTTTTATCGTTGCTCTTTTCTGTTTGTTTATTGATGGCCCTTTCATTCAATTTTCTGATTTACTATAGCTTTGTGTTTCGACGTATTTTTATTTATTACTTCTGTTCGACTCAACTCGATGATTTTATTAGTTCATGCAATGTACTACTTTTATCATTTTTTTCAGTTATTTATGTCCTCATCTGACATTTTTCTGTATTTTTTAATTTCGTTGAATGTAAAGAGTGAATGAAAATGTTCGCTTGTACAAATAAAATATTTTCAGCTTAAAAAAGTGTACGGTCCGATTGATAATCTCGAATATAGATTGAAATGTTTATTAACATTTGCATTGGCAAACTTGCAACGCAAACTTTCGTAGATATTTAAAATCTTATCAAATAAGCTCGAATGTTACGAGTCATGTAATCATTTAAATTTAAAAAAAGTTGCAGATGACAAGCAATACATTTTTTCGTTTTCTAGGCAAAAAAAAAAATTTCAATGGAACGTGTAACAAAAACCTTGGCTCGCGATAGTCATCAGCGCATTTGAAAACAATGCAGCTCGGGCAAGATTTATAACGCACAAATAGCTGTGTAGAGGCACTACCGGGACACTATGAAGCAAAAGAATAACTGCTTTTGTCAACCATTTTTTATCCAGCACTAAAAGGTGTTTTGTTCGGAAAATTGTTATACGCGTGAAATGTAAGTATTCATGATGGAGTCGATCGTATTTTTACTGAGCTATTATTTCTTTTTATGAAGCTTCGATAGCTGGCTTCCATTTGGTTGATTTTTCAGGTACATATTACTGCATTTCTATGTAACAACTGTGAATGCATTACTGAATATTCTCAAATTCAAAATTATTTTTAATAATTTTGGTATTTTCATCGATACGGCATTCACTCCGTAGAGCCGTAGATTTTTGTGGGTTTCTTTATTTTTTTTAATTAATTTTAGAAATGGCGAACAACAAATAATTCAGTTTGTCCACCATTTTTCACGTACATCGCAAAAGTTTTCGAATTTGCGTCGATATTTTAGTACAGAACACATATCCGGTATTAATAGCACAGTAAAACCTTAAAAGGACTCATGCATTTTTCTATTTGATGAGATTTGAAAGGAACTTGCATATGTTGCAATGCGGCTTATCATTTTTTCATGTCTTCGATTATCTGTCTTTGTGAAATATTTTCCCTTTGACGCTCATTCATTTCTATAACATATAATATAAGCATATACATTTTGTCGTAACATTTACATTAAAAATATATACATCGTAAATGTCTGTTGAGTCAAAAAAGCAAAAAAGTTAAAGTTGTAACTTTAGCGAGCAGATCAACGAAAAGTTCTTTTCTGCTTATATACCGCATTCAATGAAGTAACGTTTGTTTCGAACAAAAAACCCCGAAAATAGCATAGGCCAGTGAAATTGAAGCATAGTTACAGTAAATAAAAACTGGAAGCACCGCGAAAAATCGCGAACACGATAACCAAGAAAAAGAGGGAAAAATGTGGATTCACCTATAGAGAATTCTAGTAAACGTTAGCAGATAAACTGACGCTGCATCGGAAGGGAATGGTTTGCGATCAGCATTGCCTCAAATTGCTGAGCTGTCTCGAATCCACTGTCGCTGCCACTGTAATATGTATCGTACAACGAATAAACATTATGCATCTACTTATATTTACGATCGAAAAGAGGAGCTGAGTTGGATGTAGCTCAGAAGAGAATACGCGCGTCATAACAATTTCGTAATTAGTCTAAGGAGGAAAGAGACTTACATATCCAACTCCGCTACATCCCTGATGAATCTTTATCAGCTACTATTGGAAATGATTAGGCCTCTAGTTTGATCAAATATCTCAGCACGATCAGGCTGTGACATTAATGCTCATTTTCAATTGCTTCGATTCGGACTAAGATTCGTGAACAATGACACATACTTTTTGGTAATATACGCATACCAGCTTAATTGTTCTCGTACGCGCGCAAACACGAAAGAAAGAAAAAAAAGGAAATAAACGATCGCGTTTGCGAAACTGTAACGGCTCTTATTCATATTTCATACGAGAGCGAAAGAGCAGCTTGCGCCGAGCGCGAATTTAACGACTAACTTTAATATGTAACGAATCTTTGGAGAGAGTAGCCTTCTATATATAGGTACATACGCGCTGCTGAAGATTTAGCTTTTTTGGACATGACTAATGGGCCAATGTAGTCCGTAAAACGAAATATGTGTGCAGTTAACTGTGGACGACCAAAACCCTTTCTCTCTCTCTCTCTCTCTCTATTATATTTCTTGCGATATTATCTTGATTAATACTCTTGGCAGTTATCGCGCGTTCGTTCTTCGACGAAGTGCTCAACTAAAGTAGAAATTAGCATTCGGTGAAGCACTAACAATCGTCAAAATTTACGACTAACAATAAACAAGTATAAATTATTTCTCGTGGTAGGCATCAAGTCAGCAGTTTTCCATGTATAAGTGATATAGCGAGAAAAAATTGGCCGGTCAATCGGCCCTTCACTCTCATATATTAACTTGGAAAAGATCTTCAGTAAAACTTCGCTCCTATATACGTTGCTTACTTCGGCAAAAGCTTTGCTTTTGAAAAAAAGAATTCCGGATCTTCAACAGACACAGCGATGATTATTTAAATGATAACTGGGTTTCGGCTGTTCGAAGATCAAACTTCATATTTAAAAACATAGGGTGATTTAGACTTGAAGCGTTCAAGGTGTATTATCCATAGGTCTGCTCGCGCATGAAATTCTTGAAATATTCGAGCGGAGCGGCGATAAGGCCACTGTTGCCGTGGGGGATGTTTTCGAGAGACGACTTGCGTCCATTGTTTGCGACTGAGTATTGTTGCGAGAGAGGGTATAAAAGACCTTTGTTAGCGGTAAGCGAGGCTACATTTGTCTCAATCAACTGTGTATATGGACGCTACGTTTAACGATATATGTAGGTGTCTGGTCATTTTGTCTAATTACGCGGCTGCGTAAATAACGCCGAGGCTTTTCTTTATTTGGATTTTCATAGTTTAAACATTCGTGATTCGCTTGTTCTCGGCCTCCTCTACGGTTGCTTATTAGCTCTCGCGCTTTTGTACAAGGGTATTACTCGCTGGTTCGCGCTTGCTCGCTCGGACGTTAATGAGTCCGTTGGAACGATCTATTGTCTAGATTAAATGAACGATTTGTTATTGACCACTGTATACTCGTCATTTTTTATTTCGTTAAGCTTCTGTAGGAACATCAATTAATCAGCTCTTAGGAGGTTCATAGTTGTAGCGCGGGCATTTCGATCGATATTAAAGCATTTTCATCGACGTAGAATAGTTAAATTTTGGAAAATAAGAAAACATGGCGTGCGGTCAAAAAGAAGATCGATATGTCACTATCAGTTGAAAGTGGTGCTTCGAAACTGTAAGTCGTCGCTGGGAAAAATGTAAACGTCTGATCAAAGTGAAAGAAACGGAGGCATTTTGAATATGAAAAGAAAAAGCAGGAGGCAAAGCTTGTGCGCAAAAGAGCAACGAAAGCGCTACTGGAGCGGTACGGGCCGTCTATAGAGAAGAGTGGCGGTGCACATGCGCGCCGCTCGGTGCCACCGCCGCCGTTGCCGCCGTCGAGAAAGGCTTTCGCTCGGCGGCATCCGCGTGTCAATCGACGCCCGCGCGCGACCGACACCGGGTGCTCGCCCGCAATACGTACCAACACGGAGTGTCGCGCCAAGAAGATCTCGATCGAGAAGTATCAAAAATTCATGTCTCATTTTTTTTTTCTTTCTCCGTCTTTGCTCCGTTGCTCGAATCTAAAGACAAGGATTTGGTACGAGTTCAGAATGGCATAGCGCGCAGTAGCCCATGGCCGCCGCCAACTGGCACAGCGCGAGAAACAAGTGAGAAGAAGTCGAGAAGGATGTCGAACGCGACGAACGCGACGAACGCGGCGCTCGGTCAGAACAGCTGGACGTGCGGCGCGGGCCTGGATTCGTTCCACACGTGGTACGTCGGCATCCACGGTTACGTGAGCGTGATCGTATGTGGCTTCGGCTCGGTGGCGAATCTGCTAAACATTCTCGTGCTAACGCGTCACGAGATGGTATCGCCGACCAACTCCATACTATGCGGTTTGGCAGTGGCCGACCTGCTCGTGATGATCGAGTACATACCTTACACCAGCCACTCGTACCTGGTCGCGCAACGTAAACGCGACCATTACTCCTATGGCTGGGCTGTGTTCGTACTGTTTCACTCGATATTCGCCCAATGCTTTCACACCATATCCATCATTCTCACGCTGACGCTCGCCGTGTGGAGGTATATCGCTGTTGCCCATCCTCAACGGAATCGCGAGTGCTGCAGCCTGGAGAGAGCCAAGTACGCTATTATCGCCGCTTACTTGATCAGTCCGCTCATATGTGTGCCGGTGTACATGGGCGTGGAGATCAGTCCTCGGTACCAGATGTTGGACGCCTTGGACCGACAGGTGAACGACACTTACGATGGCGAGGCGACCAACACGACACTGTACTTCGTAACCATGTCGGAGAGCGCGAAGAACGGACTGAACGAGCTAAACTTCTGGATATACAGTGTGGTGATCAAATTGTTGCCGTGCGTGTGTCTGACTTACTTCAGCGTGTGCCTGATCAAGGCGCTAATCGAGGCGAAGAAGCGAAGGAAGAAGCTGACCACCACGACGATGCTCAAGATGGAGGAGTCGGTTAATTTGGCCGAAGGCAAAAAACGCAAGAGGAAGGCCTCGAGGCTACTCGACAAAGAGAAGCAAACCGATCGTACCACGCGGATGTTGCTCGCGGTTTTGCTACTGTTCCTCCTTACCGAGTTCCCGCAGGGTATATTGGGTCTACTCAGTGTCGTTATTGGCACTCCCTTCTTCAATACGTGCTACATCAAACTAGGTATGACATGCACACACGCTCCTCTTCTTCTGCTCCTATATCTCGGAAGAAAGTGTATTCTCTTTTGTGATCCAATGATCGCTGAGATCTTGTTTGCTGATTCGAGCCCGTGAGCGAATAAACATTTGCCGAATGCCGCGTGGCAACAGCAGGTCGAGAATTCAGAGATTTCCTTTTTCTCTCCCTCTACGCGCGTCGCGAGAGATCTTTATTTTATAACGCTCTGGATTTGCCTCTATACGGGTTAATCTAGGCAAAGTGTATAAAATCTTGTTGCGAGTCGTTGGGCAACTTTTTGTAATTACTTAACGTAAATCGATCAGATTTAAGTATATTATTGCACGAACGAGAACATTGCAAATTAAATTACACTAATTTGCACGCGTTTATTTTTGCCCTTGCAGAATTAAGTGGGCTGCGAGATAAAAATAGCTAAGTAAATGTTTACGAGAATTGTTGTTTACTTGTTGTTAATTCAATTAAAGTTGGCGCGGATGAAAGACACAATATGCATTAAATAAGTTATGCAAAGTGTTGTGTTGGAATTTCAGATATTTGATTATGCCGATATCACCACAAATTTAAATAATAATTCAAGAATTTATTGACTGAAAATTCCGTTTTCATCGAAAGTTATCTGAACATTTACATTATAGTAGCGCGTACAGTACAGTTCGATTGATTTATTCGTCATAATTGTTTTTCCGTCGATTTCCATCAAGTTAACGGACGTATACATAGTAAACTATCTATCGATTTTACATAGCAGTATGCGTCATGTGACAAAGCAAGAAAATACTATTTCATCCGCCAACCAAACAATCAGACTGTTCCGAATTAGATGACTGTAACAATACTTTTAAAAGATGTATTAAATCAAGTTCACGTTGCAATTTTTTAAATTGTAATTTTCGTTATTGATCTTGCTTTGATTTGTTAACAAATCGTTTACCTAAGCAGCTTGGTTACCTTATTAAAATGTCTGCACAAACGCAAGGACAAATATCTTCTTGCATTTTCGTGCAGCGACCAAACCGCAGAATCACTTTTCTTTTCGCAGATATCAACGATATACATCCCGCGTGCGGCATTTAAATTTACGACCATTCAAAATTTCGACGAGGCGTCAATCTAATGGAAACATAAAGTGCCATTCAAAGCGTGAAACCGCGAGAATCCGGCAGAACATAGCGACGTATTAGAGCGGCGCGTGCACGTACATTTGGAAAGTCACGAAGGGGCATTGATGAAAACAGACGTAATGGGAAACCGAATGGCGAATGTGGTATAATAAAGCCGCGTTCCCCAATAACCCAATAACCCACGCAGTGAATCTTGCGCGCACGAAGAAATAAGCTATTTCTAACGCTCGGAACCGACGTGTATTCGCGCACGCCCGTTTTTCATCGCGGCGCTAGCGAAACACATCGTGGCGGTCGGGGCTTAATTGGGATCGATGACAAATCGATACACAGCCATTTTTAAGCTGCGTTTGTTTAAAGGGAGCGCTGAAAACGCTCTCGCCACGTTTATTCGCATTAGACCCACGCGCGTTTGCTCGCTGCAAAAATTACGTGTACACGCGATTCGAGTCTGAGATTTCGAGGCACTTATAAAGTGATTGCAATTCAATGGGATGTGTTATCGTTGAAGCTGGTAGTGATGTCACGGGGGCCGTATAAAGGAACCACAGTTTTCACGTTACGTTCGGCCCGAGATCAGCTTTGCCCGATCAATATTTATCCTCTGTTGGTCGGTCAACTCGAGAGCCAAGACTGTCCAAATCTATGTCACATACCAAAATTTGCACTTGTTTATTTTCGCGAGTAGCACCTCATGTGCCACCAAAATCGATTTTCTTTGAAAGCTTTTTCCGTTTTTCACCGACAGCGTTTCGATTCGACAAATCATTGCCAGTCGTTTTACGTTATGCGAATATACGTCAATGATTACTTAACGAAATCACAGAGAACGATGTCAATGTTGAAAAGCAAATCTTACTGATCGGGCGACAAGAATAAAAAAGCAACGAAGAAAGGCCCTTTCGGGTCAATAACACACGGTGCTAACTTACGGCAACACAGCCGCAAGCTTTCCTCGGATCCTATCCTGTAACTCGTGATAATAGTCTATATATATATATATCCGTTACTGAGATAGCTAACTACATGGAAGCTTCGTAGCCGGGGGCTGAAGAAGCGACAGAGGATACAGGTCTTTCCGTCTTCTCCCCAGTCCGTGTATAAATATTGTTAGTGATCTTTTGGAAATCAAGACAGAGCAGCACCCTATTCTCTCCATCAATCTCGGTGAAGAGCCGTCGCTGCCGGCAGTAGACCGCACGCGGAATTTGTCCGAATCCGCCGGGTAATTTATATAACGAAGCTGGCAATCCTATCGAGCGGCGCTACGATGATTTATCAGACCGATAGACCTGAAATTAAATGCTCACTTGTCGAGCTCTGTCATTCCCATGTGCCTCGATATAGGCTAGTAACATGTTTTCGCTTCGTGTCGCGTGATCAGATAATAGCTGATACGACGATGTCCTGTATGCCTTATTTTTTGTCGCGACTGTCTGATAATTAGGATAATTGACAGCAAAACTACCTTCGTTTGAGCAAGGTCACATTGTTGCGTTGGCACTCGAGGGTCGTTATTAGGACTCGTTTGGCGGTCATCAAGGGTAATAATAGTCATATATAAGTGTATCTGACGTGCGTATGGAAAAACAACACATAAATTTTTTGGCGCTCACGCGCGTACGTATTTGTGTGTGTGTGTGCGTGCGCGTATTCTTGCTCACACGATCAAGTAGGTCAAGCGTGGAGCTGTTTAAGGATGAGTCGCGGACCGTTGTCGTCGTCGTCACTTCGAACGGAAGTATCGATTACGACTTGCAAAGCACATGAGTTTTATTCAAGAAATGCTCAGCTCGAAGACAAGTTTTGGAAGATCCAGCCGCGGCAAAAGCACTCGCATGAATATCAAAGAAACGTCTACAGTTCGATCCGCGCGCGTATACTGCGCGAACCACGTTGCACGTCTCATCATTGCTGGAGCTCGTTATTTTTTTTCTTTCTTCGTCGATCAAAGGCTACTTTCATTTAATGAAAAATGTCGAAAGTTAGCCAATAAGCGCTCTCATCCATAAAAGCTGAGGATAGGCCCGCTTTATCGGGAATAAGTACACTTGGCGTCCCACGAATTACATTCAAATTTCGCCAGGCACATGTTTTATGAAAAAGAATCTCGGAATTTCAAATCGGGATTTCGATTTGGCGCGCGCAACGGTGTAGCTAGCTCGTCAGATATACAAATGTGTCCTTGCATTAATGAAACATCGTTGTTACGTAGGGAGCACTTGAGTTTTTCAACGTCGTCCTTCGGCTTCTTTTAGTTTGTGCAAGGAACATTATTTTCAAAAAGTACGGATACGTCACCGCGTGAGTCGCGTCCAAGAGAATTACGAAGCCTATAGGAAATTGAGAGAGAGAGAGAGAGAGAGAGAGAGAGAGAGAGAGAGAGAGATGAACGAATAATAAAGACGAAAAGCGATATAAATTATGTTACGGGTTGTTGAAGTCAGGGCGATAAGGGCTTTCTGCACCTCGCTAAACGCCGTCGCGCGTTTTAGGTCATAACGCTAAAGGAGGCATGCAAGCGCCGATGGGAGAGTGAAGATTAGAAGCTTGAGCGCATCGATAAATCTATTGTACTGCGCAAGCTTTTCCTTACTTACCTCTGCACAAAATTGTCTCTGTCGAATAGTCTCTTACGAAAAAAAAAAAGAAAAATTATTTTCATTAGATTTAGCTTAAATATACGTCTATAAAATTCAATCAACTTTTATCATTTCCACGCGCGTGCGTTTTACTCTTGGATGCGTATTGAAGGATACTGCGACAAAATTTACGATGAAATTAACTATCGACGAGATAAAACGGAAAGATTGGCGCGATTGAATGATTTATTCATCTGTGACGTGGTAATATATAGATGGTATATTGCACGTGCCGAAGACGACGAATCAAACAAAGCAGACACTAACATGACAATTTCCCCGTAGGAAAACATGCATGAATACAAATTATGGATTTATACTTTGGGCCGAGTGAAATAAAAATGACGATGAACGCGCGTGTTTATCTAGAACGGTACAGGTTGGTCGATTTAACGCACAGCGATTCGCCTTTAACGTTATGATTGATTATCGTGCGCCTTAAAATCTTTATGATGGAGATCAAACGAACCGTCACAAATGAAGCACCACGCGGATTATAGGATTTTAGTTTAGATATTGGTTTTATTAGATGATCCCTCATTGATATTCAAGGCTTGATAGTACACCAACTATACGTAACTGCTTAAACTAATCGGGGGTACGTTTGGCCGATCGTATCGCAAAAAATAATGCGCCTCGTGCGCGACACTCGATAGCTACTGCGTTAGCTTGCGATAAAGTGACGGAATGAACCGCCTATATTGAAATATATTAACTGTGTAATAGCGTTCGTAATAACCATATCACTTACGAAATTGCCTCCGTTAAATTTAACAAGCGAGGCTTGTTGATGCTAACGCTAATAACGAACATACTAATTACAATGTAACGGAAACAAATAAAAAATTTCAATTGTAACATTTAGCGCAATTAGTAGGCGCGATTTACCCATATACACAGTGTAAGTGGTACATTACTTCGGATTTTATTTGAACGCTTAAGTATGTCTATATATGTTTTGAGAAATGAAGAAGAGGAGCTTTGAATGAAATTTATCATTGCTTCTGCCTGCTACAAATGACCTTCTTATCTTCTTTCCACGTCTTATTTATCTATTTCTCATCGTGAGATACAAGTACCAGAAGCCGATGCAGTCCTATCATTACGAATGGAATACCGATCTAGGAAGCTGTAGACTACTCTGTTTTGACATTTATTGATGATACGTATTTCTATGTATTATCAAACAAAGAAATTTTTTAAGTTGTTACGCAGC